TTTTACAGCCCGTGGCCCTTCAGAGGAATAGAAAAGCCATTGTATGTCAAGTTTTTTCCATTACTTTCGATCGTGTTTCTTTTAAGAGAAAATGAGACGATGTGTGTAACGGGATGTTCATCTTTCTCATCAGAGATAAAATCGAACAAAATCGGTCATAATCATGGACAATGGCTTTCATGAGTTTGTGAACAGTTCACAAGCTGATCGCACAAAATTCATTTATTTGCACGGCGATCCGTTCGTTACTGAGGTGTTGCTCTGTCCAATATTCTGTCCAAAGCGAGGCGGGGAGGAAGAAGGCTTCCTAATAGTCATGCAATGTCCCTCTGTCAATTAAAGAAATAATAGAGAATGATGGAAACAACCTGGCATGCCTCCGAATGAGAGGTTGGTTTAAGTATAGACCTCCCTCCTAAATAAAAGCATTGTACATGTGTTCTTATAATTAATTTTTTTGTCTGGACAATAGCTTAATTGATGTTCCTGGAAAGCTTAATTGTTTGCATGATTACAATCCTTGTACTTCTATGACATTTGGACAAGATGATCCACATGCCACAAAAATCTGTTATGATATCGGAGTCATGAAGTTCATCACTCATCCTTTAATTTCTAAACTTTAACAGTGTTATGTTGTCATTGTTTTCGTTCTGTTATGTTAATATTTTCTTGTTTCAGCAAGTCAGCAATGCTGAGTTAATGTTTTGTAAATTTTTGTTTTGAGTATACTTGCTGATTTTTCTTTGACATCTACGCATCTTTTACTGAAATTCTAATTTGAAACTACAGAAAACTAATTGTTATTATTGAACTTTAACTAGAAATGTAAATATCCTGAAGTAAAAAAACCGCGTTATAACCTTCAAGTTGGTGCGCAGAATGGGGTCAGATGTGCAGTAAACGGAGAAGGACAGATTGAGCTGGTGTAGAAAACAAAGTAGGTATTGTTTGCTAAAAATGCAAGCCTTCTCTTGTGTTTAAATTTTCGGTGAGGCGCCATTTTATAATTTTCCTTGTTAAAGCCTGAGGTTGCTACATGATCAGCCAACTTACCAGGCCCCCCTTTTTTTTTAATCGAATGAGGTAACTTGTGATCGAAACATGTTCTTCTAGCGTTTAAAATCTCTGACATGAATTTTCCATTAGCAATTTAATAGAAAAAAAACGCAAGATTCAAGAGTAATTAACATTTACACGTATCATTGCAGCGAAAGCTCAATCAGCACTACACATTCAAAGGTACAGCTTATTTGTGACGAGACAACTCA